TAACTTGCATGGGGCGAAAAAAGGGGCAACCAACCCTGGGGGTGGCTAGCACCTTGAAGATGCTCCTGTAGGTTAATATCTTTTCTACCAGCAGCACCTTGGAAGATAATATTATTCATGTATGTATTTGGTTTTTATTGTATTTTACTGTATTTTTATACTATTTTTATTGTATTTTAATTAATTTTTTTTTTTTTACTGTAAACCACCCACAGTCACTTCCTCATGATGGGTGGTATCTAAATTTGAAATATAAATAAATAAATAAAAATAAGATCCAATTTCAGCTATAATAGTTATTCAGACTTAAACAAATTCATATTCATGAAGTTTTCTCCTTTTGTGCAGGTAAACCTAGGGAGCATGATTCAAGTGACAGTGGCACAGAAAGTTATGAGGGCTCAGATTCATTGCTACAGTCTTGGAATAGTCAATCCTCCTTAGTAGATGTTCAACGGGTCCCATCCTATGAGAGCTTTGAAGATGACTGCAGTCAGTCCTTGTGTCTGAACAAACCCACAATGTCCTTTAAAGACTACATTCAAGAAAGGAGTGACCCGGTAGAGCAAGGGAAACCAGTTATACCAGCAGCAATACTAGCAGGATTTACAGGCAAGTAGAATATTTTCTTGTCCCCTTTTGACTTTAGGCTTCCTTGTTTCACTGATTGTAGGGAGATCTGAATGAAAATTGTATATGCTCAGGTCTCTCTGCTTAATCTGGACTGATTATTTGGATATAAAGGCCATACTTTCACAATATTGCCTTGTTCTGTAATTCTGTTTTTCAAATAAATTTCATTCAGTTGAAATTAAGTGTACTCTGGAATGTGACAATACTGTAAGAGGGAAAAAGATAAATTCAGACTACTGTTCTGAATTTTTTAAAAAATAGATCTGCTGTAAGAAATTCCTGTCATTTACCACTTCTTTATAATATAGATTCTGGTGTCTGGTTGATCTTTTAGCCAGAAAGATTTTAAAGGAACCACATATTTAATTAAATCTTTCAAACTAACCTCTCGGGGAGTCTTATGAATGCTTGTATGTGTATGTGTCTCTCTGTGTGTATATGTTAACCGTTTTATTTTGATATTGATAGGTAGTGGACCTATACAGCTGTGGCAGTTTCTTCTAGAACTTCTGACTGACAAATCTTGTCAGTCATTCATTAGCTGGACTGGAGATGGTTGGGAGTTTAAACTTGCAGACCCAGATGAGGTTAGTAGTTCAAATAAATGGATGTTTATTGCAGCTAGCAGGGTATAGCTATAGTAGTTACTGTGTTGGATCAGGACTTGGGAAACCCAGATTTCAATATGTTCTTGGCCATGGACTTCAGGCCACTTGCTGGATCTGTCTTTTTCACTCTCAGCCCAACTTACCTCAAAGGTTGGTTGGGGTGATCAAATGAATGAAGATCCCTATTGAAGCCACTTTGAGCTCCTGAAGAAAAGGCAGGATGTAAACTAGCAAATTATGCAGACCCACTAGGAAGAAAAGGGCAGCTTCAAACATTAAGTTCAAAAGCAGTGATATGTTATTATAGCCTCAGTTTCATATATTAATATGGAATTATATAGGCAAACCTTTGATTAATTACATTGTATACATGTTTAGTTTTATTCCATTTTTATATTGTTTTTATTGTATTTTAATTAATATTTATTGTTTTATTGTGAACCACCCAGAGTCACTTTTTTGTGAGATGGGCGGTATCTAAATTTGAAATATAAATAAATAATAAATAAATACAGAACAGTTTATACACTTAGCTAATTTAAATGCAAGCCATCAAATTATGGTACTTCATAGCTTCTTAAAGCAAGATCTGTTGTGAAGACATATTAAGTTATAAACCAACATGGAAATTGTGCTTTTTATCGAGATGCAGACTTTGGAGCTCCAGCAGCATTTAAGCAGTTGCTTAGTAGCTTACTTTTTATTTTGCTTAATATTAGTATAACAGGATTTCAGAACAGAAGTTAATTTTAATATATAAAAAGTCAAATGAACTTCAAATTCACTTTAATTCATTCCACCTTATTTTTGAATTGGTACTGATTATTGCATCTGAAGTTTTAGTGGACCCAGTTTCATATTGTAATTGAGGTTTATAGTTGGACCCAACTGAGAGTTATAGTTGGACTTGAATCACTGTTAATGATTGAGATTCATGGCACGTGGAATAAGACTAATGATTCTGTTGCTTAAGTAGAGTTTAATACCACTTCACTGGAATCTAAATAACTATATTAAATTGCTTTCTGTGTTCTTACTTCAGGTTGCAAGAAGATGGGGCAGAAGAAAAAACAAGCCCAAAATGAACTATGAAAAGTTGAGCCGTGGCCTGCGTTATTATTACGATAAGAACATTATTCACAAAACTTCAGGCAAACGTTATGTATACCGTTTTGTATGTGACCTACAAAATCTGTTGGGATATACAGCAGAGGAACTCCATGCAATGCTGGGAGTGCAGCCAGATACTGAAGACTGAGCATTCCTGTCATGTGAGCTTTGGATGCAAGAGCACATGAATCTGTGAATTGGGACCTTCTGCATCAGTCATTGGTTTTATCTTCTGACTGTTTGGAGTGGTACACTGCTGAACTCCTAAAAGAAGTGTTTTCATAATCGGGGGAAGTCAAGGGAAAGAAGAAGCCTCAGTTTCAGGCACAATAAGAACTTTGTATCCAGCCTTTCAGCAGCCTTTCCTGAGGTCAACCCAGTTCCTGACTGCAAGCTAAAGATACCAAAGTGCTCTAGGGTTTGGGGTTCTAATTATATCAACTTCTATATAACTAAGGGTGATACCCCGGCCAGACCCCTTGAAATTTCCAGCATTTTCCCCCTTCCCATTTTACAGTTAACAATCTTGCAGATGTTACATACTATCATTTGTGAGATTGAGAGAGAAAAGGCTAGGTATCTTTTATTTAACATAGGTGCCACCATAAATTTGCAAAGGGCATTCTTTTAGAGCTGTGTATGTTTCATCATACACATCTTGGAACCAAGAGGAACAATGGCAGAGATTCCGTACAAGGACAGAAAAGATATACCATTTCAAAAAATCTGTATATTTGTGTGTGGTGTGTATGCTTAAGCATGTTCATATGTTTCTCTGGCAGTGACAAGCTCCTATTTAATAAATATTGTATATTGTAATTTAAAATAATGTAAACATCTGAAAAGGGAGAATGTGTTTCAATTCAAAAGAGCAGCTCCTACAGCTGGAATTTAATTTTCCAAGTGAATTTATATAGAATAAGCACAGGCCAACTGGCCCTGTCGTAGAAGAATGTTTAATCCAAGGCTGACAAACACCTAAACATTTATGGCAAGAAGCTAATTGTTCAGTCTAGGTCATAAAGTCATTTGAGTGATGCTGTAACTGAAAATAGCAATGTTGCTAAAACTATATTTATTGATGGAAAATCTTTTCTATGCATGTCCTTTTAAAAACAATTCACATCTTATTCTTTCAGTTGACCCTTTCCCATCCCTTTCATTCACCTATAATGAATTATTCTGATTAAAATATGAATTCTATTTTTGAAAAAAAAATCTGATTCCTTTTCTGCAATTAGAATAAAGATATATAGCAGCTATTTTTACTGCAAAAATAAAAAGCTTCACTGGAAAACATGTAATTTGTAAAAAAAATTGTTTTTTAATTTGAAAATGATGTAAACTTACAAAATGAGATTTAAAAAACATTGACTTTTATTAAAACATCTTGAACAAGGGCCAATAATTATGTAGTTATTTATGTTTCAAAGTTGTTACTTACCTTCGTCTTAAACAATTCACTGGTAAATCTCTAAACAATTGACAAACTACTTGCCTCATAGTCACAGTACGGATACAATTCCAGATTTACGTGCCTGTACAGTGATTTCTGAGAGTTGCAGGAATTCAGCTGCATGTATTACATCTCCTGGTCAACATCCTTCTATGGAAGGTATATGCATGTACATTCTTGGTTAGCTCTTAAATGAATAGAGTACAGTGGTACCTCGGGATACGAACTTAATCCGTTCCGTGACTCTGGGCGTATCCCG